ACCAAGAAGACACACAAAAATGGTCTTTTAAAACCATTGAAACTCACCTTTGGCACTGACGCGGGATCCACCACAGGCACGTCATAGCTGACACTTATCTCGTCCAGGGATGAAGCAGAGGAGAGTGTTCGTATCATGATATCTCTTGGTCTTTGGCAATCAGGCTTGTGTTATCGCTGTTTCCTGGAAGTTGGTGTAAATCCTGATATCTTTTTGTGAGATACGAAATTACGATTTTTTTATGTTGCATGTATTTTGTTTTTTTTAATTTAATGGAATAAAAATCGTGTTTGATTTCATAATGGAAGTTGCACGAATTAGAGAGAAAGGGGAGAGAGAGAGAGAGAGAGAGAGAGAGAGAGAGAAAGAGAGAGAGAGAGAGAGAAAGAGAGAGAGAGAGAGAGAGAGAGAGAGAGAGAGAGAGAGAGAGAGAGAGAGAGAGAGAGAGAGAGAGAGAGAGAGAAAGATTGAAAGAGAGAAAGAGAGAGAGAGAGAGAGAGAGAGAGAGAGAGAGAGAGAGAGAGAGAGAGAGAGAGAGAGAGAGAGAGAGAGAGAGAAGAGAGAGAAAGAGAGAAAGAGAAAGAGAGAGAAAAAGAGAGAGAGGAGAGAGAGAAAAAAGAATGGGAGGAGGAAGTAAGAGATACTTCATTTGGAGAAAAATAGATATAAAGTTATAGCGAGAACATACGTACATACTTCAGAAAAACACATATAAGCGGGGAGACAAAATGTGTTAAAACTGAGAAAGCGAATGAGAAATGAGAAGAGATAAGACAAAGAAACGCAAGAAAGGCGTGAGATAGAATGGATAAAAGAGAGAGGGACAATTAGAAGAACACTGAGTGAGAATGAGAAAGAGTGACAAAAACGGGAGGCAGCGAGAGGAGAGGATAGAGAGAGAGAGAAAGAGAGGATAGAGAGAAAGAAAGGATAGAGAAAGAGAAAGAGGATAGAGAGAGAGAAAGAAAGGATAGAGAGAGAGAAAGAAAGGATAGAGAGAGAGAAAGAAAGGATAGAGAGAGAGAAAGAGAGGATAGAGAGAGAGAAAGAAAGGATAGAGAGAGAGAAAGAGAGGATAGAGAGAGAAAGAAAGGATAGAGAGAGAGAAAGAAAGGATAGAAAGAGGCGATAGAGAGAAAGAGTGTAGAGAGAGAGAAAGAGAGGATAGAGACAGAGAGAGAAAGAAAGGATAGAGAGAGAGAAAGAAAGGATAGAAAGAGGCGATAGAGAGAAAGAGTGTAGAGAGAGAGAAAGAGAGGATAGAGACAGAGAGAGAAAGAGAAATATGATACCGAAAACTGAATGAGGTAGTATAAACATCGCACATTCATTACCAAACATTTCCTTTAACAATAAGAATTCACACCAACTCGAACATTCCCTAGCAGTAGACAATGCATTTCCACACATTTGCGTAATGAAAGAGAATTTCATATCGTCTCCAATATGGCCCTAAAGAACTTGCTACCCACCTAACTTCTGGCACGAGTCCAGTGACGTCACAGGCCCACCCCTTTCCACATAGCACATGCCATGAAGTCTGCTATTTGTGCTCACGTCTCTTCCTTCCTCCCTTTTTCCTGTTTCGTAATGTTCACGGTCTCCTCTCATCCCTCCCTATCTCTCTCTCTTTGATTTTATCTGTCTCTCTTTTGCTATTTATTTATAACTTTTTATCTCTTTCTGTTTTTTTTCTTCTATTTCGCTCTTTCTATTTATTTCTCTTTCTATCTGGCTATATCCCTCTCTTTCTGTCTGTATATTTTCTCTTTCAATTTGTCTTATGTCTCTCTCCTTACCTACTCCCTTCTCTGTCTCTCTTTCCTTCTCTTCTCTCTCTCTTCTCCTCTCCCCATCCCTTTTCCCTCCCTCTCTCTCTATCTCCTCTTCTCTTTCCACTCCCTCTTCCTCCCTTCCTCCTTCCCTCCTTTCTCTCTCTTCTCTTCCCATCCCTTTTCCCTCCCCCTCTCCCGCCCTTCTTCCGTCTCTTTCTCCCCCCCTCTCTCCACTCCCTCCCGCCCCCCATCCACTCCATTCTCCCTCTGTATCCTTCCCTGTGGCTGTCGTGGATCACAGCGCATCTGCCGTGAACACCCCTTCAGGCATACTTAAACCACCCCACTCACTCTCGGTCTCCCGAAGGACTGAGCCCATTGCCCAATTCCCGCGTGCTCTCTGCGTCTGTCTGCAGCGATCTCGTCTCCCGAGAGTGAGGATGCTCTACACTCGTTCAGCGCATAGAAAACGAGCTCCGGGAGAAAGGGAAAAGAAAACGTGGCTGCTTCAGACATTGTGTTTTATTGTTTTATGGTTTTGTTGTATCAAAAACTTATCTATAGGGGTTATTTTTATCTTTTTTTAATTAATTGGCGAACTGAATAGTACCGTGAAAATGAATGAATCTTTTAAGCCTAATTCCATTATTCATCATACTAAAATACCGTTCACACCTAAATATTTTATTTTCGTTATTCTCTCTTTTATTACTTTGATATTCTAT